TTAGTTGTGTTTGTGTTCTTTTGAGACAAAACTTCAAAATAGTTGCAGTTTTATAAATATGTTATAAACACAGACTATAAAAAGGTAACTAGCCTACTTTTGCTTTGTTTCGTTTTACCATATCTTTGTGCCAACCAAGTCCCAAAAATAGCTGCAGATCAATACGTGAAACAGTTTAAAGCTGAACAAGAACCAACAGAAAGGAGTTGCTTTTCCAAATTAGAAGCAGTGCAGGACCAGCAATTTATAAATAAATTCATTTGGAGGAGAAAAAAAATGAATGTTTGGGGATTTTTAGCCATAACAACTAGAATATTGAGAATGAGATCACTGTGCATCATCACTGTCAAGGTGGCATCGTGGTTATTTTTATATTAATGCTTGTAAATAAAGAAGCAAGTAGAAAAATGTCTTTAAATTTAATCCAAGAATGAGCTAAACTCTGTGCCTCGAGAAACTTCAATGGTCAGCTGCGTTTGCATTGAATGTATTCATCTTCACTGAAGTCAATGTCTGATCACATAAAAAGATGCTAGTTGCTATGGTTACTGATCGTATCTCCTCCTCAGGTCTGTCCTCCTAGCTGACAGCTAGTTGGGGAAGCTGTGTGAGGACAGCACAAAGAATGGGTTGCACAGAAAGAGATGCAGCAAAGGAGTCACAAACACAGCTTGTTCCACTTTTCAGTAAGTCATGACAGCTTGGTCAAAGCTGCCCGTGACCAACAGTCTGGCTCTGACAAACCTCCGAAGGGATTTGCACAATCAGAAGGTTTGGACTCATAATAAGCTCATTATAAGAAGTATCTGTCATGAGCTGCTTACATTAGATGGGATGGAGCTTTGAGAGCATGTGTATCAAAGCCAAGTCATAAACCTGATTGCCTAATATAGATTAAAAGTGTGCATGTGAAAGAATAAAACCGGTAAAAGGCAGCTGCTTATCTAGCCTGGATTGAATTATTCTGCAAATTAAGAGATAATTACATAACTGCCTCAGTGCAGCTGGGGTCGGGTAATTAAGGCCCTAATTTATTCCCCACTCCCCCTTTTTTTTTTGCCACAGTGTGATTTCTTCTCTTTTTTTCAAACTTGAACTTTAATCTAAGTCCTTCCTCTCCCTGAGTCTTGTTATCTTTAATGTCTGGTTCCCTTCCTGTTTTTCTGGGTAGCTCATTTGCAAACAAATTCTAATATGTTTTGTGTTTCCCTGTTTGTCTCTCAATCCTTTTCACAGAATAACAAGAAATATCATGTTCAAATAATACATACATATATATATATACATACACATATATACATACACACATATATATACATATATATACATACACACACACACACACACACACACACATATAT